AACCCGTCCCCCCCGGTCGCATCTTCAAGAATCTGCCGTTGCGACATCCTCACGCAAATACAATCTCGCCGCTCGCGCGACTCATTTGCATAATGTCCTCGGTCCATAGGTGGAAAGGACGTACGATCCGTTGTAAATTCGGCTCCGGGTTCGTCGTTAACTGCTACGCGCGGAGAGTGACCGTTATATATCGTCCCTCTCTCTCTCTCTCTCTCTCTCTCTCTCTCTCTCTCTCTCGCGGTGGTGCCTTATCGTCGATGCGGCCGACGTAGCCGCACGGGTAACGATCGTGCGGGCCGCACTTACGATCGATCTATCTCAATCGATCGTTGGGGCGCGTGCCACGATTTACCATCGATCGCTGGCGATCGATTAGCCCTGTCGAACCGTTCATCGGCTATCCTTGGCCGCGAGCGGGACGAGGACAGTCGTAAAAAAAAAGACGAAAATGGAGGATGAGAAGAATGAGAGACGTACGAAGAAAGAAGAAGAAAGATGGGGAGAGGGAGGGCGAGAGGGAAGGGCGGGGTGGGTGTGGGAGGTGGGCGAGGATGACGGACGAAGAGAGAGACGAGGGGAAAGGAGCGAAGGCACGGAATAAGAGAGAAACGAAACGATTGTGGCAGAAAAGGAGGGTAGGCGAGCGCGACAAGGAGAGAGAGGAAGCGCACGTGCGTGGGAGCGAGAGGAAGAAGAAGAAACGGAGAAGTACGTTTGGGAGAAGCGAGAGGGAAGGAAAAGGGAAAGAGGAGGGTGAGGGTTCGAGAGAGGGTAGAGAGAGGCGGTGGGATATGCGCATGGCGAAAGAGAGAGAAAGAGACGGAGACGGGAGAGGCAGGAAGGGCAAGACGGAGAGAGACGGAGGCCGGCGAGAGTGCGGAGTAGCGAAGGACGGAGTACGCCGGACCAGCCACAGCCGCCGCGCCACGCCGCACCGCGCTGCGCCGCGCCGCGCCGCCGCCGCCGCCACGCCGCCACCGCCTCCACCGCCTCCACCGCCGTGAGGCTTCGAACCCGAACACGACCGAACGTCGTCGAGCAACAACGGAAACGTACGAGCGGTGCGGTTCGAGCGGCCGAGCGAGCGATACGGCCGAGCAGTGCGGTGCCGACTCTTGCTGCCGCGGTTGCAGATTCCGCGGTGTGTGTGTGCGCGCGTGTTTACACGACGAGAAGGAGAGAAAGAGAAAGAGAAAGAGAGAGGGAGAGGGAGAGTTTGCGCCGCGGAGGCGAGGGCAGGAGAGCTCGAAAGAGAGCGAGAGAGAGAGAGAGAAAGAGAGAGGAGAGGAACTCGCGAGAGCGGAGGAGAAACGCAAAAAGCGACGGAGAAGTCGGCGAGTCGTCCGCGAAAACACAGTGCGTACGCGCGTGTTCCGTGGCGAACGAGTCCCTCTCGTAGGAGGATTCACGCGGCGCCGTGAGAGTACGTACGTACCGTACGCACGTCTCAACTCGGCTCGTGACGCATTCGCGCGAGGTATCGCGAGTTCGCGGAGCGAGCAACGATCGCGACAGGGTCGACGTGCAATCTAACGTCGCACGTCGCGCGGCAGCGTCATACATCGTGCCTCGCGCGACGTGGCCGGCACGCACACGCCGCGCCGCGAGAGCGATAACGCGCCAACCACCCTTCGCGCGGCCTGCCTTTAACGGGGCGTGGGTGCCACACCACACCGCGCTGCACCGCACCGCACCGCATCGACGGTGGTGCGGCGAGACGGCGGGCGGTGCGCGTAATTCAAAAGGTGCGCGCGACGGCCGCGGCGAGAACATGACAGACGACACGGAGTGCGCGAATTCGAGGCGGCATCGCGTCGCGGGCGAAGGGACGATAATATAAACGTTGGTGAGGCGGAAGGGAAGGCGGGAGAGAAGAGAGGAGAGAAAGAAGGGGGAACGCACGCGAGAGGCCGAGGGGAGAGAAACTCCTCCGAGAAAGAAAGTATCCCAAACCGAGTACCATCCGCGCGCGGCCAGTGATCCCGTGTGCGGCTCGCGTGTTGCGCGCGCGAGAGCGCGTCCGCGCCTCCGGTGAGTGTGTGCGAGTGGACCCAGGCCGTGCGCGCCCCAGCGGGCCCCAGGAGAGGAGAGGAAAGAGAGGAGAGCCAGAGACTTTCGTGGCTTCCGGCCTGTCGGCGCGGAGGCGTTCCGGCTGGCGATCGCGACCTCGCGGAGAGGATGCTGCTAACGTCGCCGACGGTCGTTGCGACGAGGCCAACGATGACGACCTCACGAGGTCTCGACTGAGTTCTCGACTCCTCGGGCTTCATCGAGAGGAAGAGAGAAGGAGAGGGAGAGAGAGTGAGAGAGAGAGCGAGAGAGAGATCAACGTCGGTTCCGTCGCCGCGACGGTAGCATCGACGAGCGTCGTCGTGCTGCTGGCCGCGGTGTGTTCCGCGATCGTTAATCAGGTGTTACTCCGGAATCAGGTGTTCGCGGAGCGAAGAACGCGCACGACGGGTGCCGACGGCGCATTCTACGAATCGTCATCGGTGGAAATTCGCGCGTCCGATAAATATATTCTTCGATCGCTGTCGCTAAAGACTGGATATCGCATCCTGTGACTATCCACGATCCTAGCAATTGAGAGAGACAGCGAGGGATATTATTTGCACATTCGCGGTCGCGGTAATCGAAAGACTCGCGCGAGAAGAGGTCGGCGGCGAGAGCGGTCGCACAACCGCGACCATTCCGCGATCACGCGATCCGGAAGACCTTTCTCGGAACCACTCGCGGTCCTAATAATCACCTTCGAGGGATCTCGAAGCCAGTATCGATCCCGGAGCCGCGGCGTGGAACGTACGGGCTTTCGTCGTTACGGAGGAAAACCATCACATTCACGTTGCGGAGGGATTACCTAGACCCGTGTCCCTAGCCTAGAACGAGCTGCCTTCGTTTTCGGCGACGAGCGAGGAAGCGTCCACGCGACGCCGAGATACAGGAGAAGCTTAACGCGAGCGACGTCGCGACGCCGGCCGACGGCAGATCGCTTCCGGTGAAACCGACAACGCGAACGACACAGCCAGGATGCAGGTGGCAACGTTGTTCAGGGAGAGCGCTACCCTGCTGGGTGCATCCAGCCTGGACCCCCCGCAGACTCACCATCATCAGAGTATGCACCAACCGCAGCCGCAGCAGCAACAGCAGCAGCACCAGCAGATGCAGCAGCAGCAGCAGCAGCACGCCACCGACATGCACCTAGTCGGCCACCACATGCAGCACCACTACAAGATGTAAGTATCCGCCTCTCTGCCGTTCTTTTCGAGCACTGATGCCGGGAACCCGCGCTCGACGCTCGAAAGTGTTCGACCTTCGAGCCCGAGAGAGCCCGCTTTGGCCAACGCGCGGCTACACGCGCGAGAGACGGCCGTTTCCAGCCGCGGGTATATACCTGCGTCCAAGTTGTTAACTTCACGAACGAGACTTCTCGTAAAAGAGCGAAGCTACAGGGATCTCTTCTCGCGTCGCTACATAAAATACAGCTCGGCGCGCCAAGTTACTCAAGCCTTTTTGTTCCCTACATCTTAGAAATTTGTAGGGGCTTTTGGAGTAGGCTCTTAGGAAATCACGAACGTTGGAATCGTTGGATGTTTATGCAAATTACAAGCATTACAAATGTGCGAATGCAGGTGCATTGTGGTTAATTAATTATCACGTTAATATTGTACAACGTCGCTTAACATGAAAGAATTTAACTCGTGTTTTCGGAGACGTATACAATAAAATTTAGATACTGGGCTTTACGAGTCGTTCACCTTGAGCGTAGATCGTGGAATTGAAGAACCTGAAATTGCCGAATGTATCTTCAGTATTTTGCTCTTTCGTCAGATAGACGAATAATGAAGGCGATTTTGCGACCAGTTGCTTCAATTGTTGCAGGAACCAGGCGGTTTTTGCGGTCAAAACATATAACCGGTAAACCTATTTCGCTTTTTCCACCGGGTAGATGCTGTCCAAACACGTCTGGCTTTTGCATCAATACACCAGCCACTAAACGGCAAACTATATTCGTATACCAAACTAAGCGGCAAATGTTATTTGCCGAACACTAAAACCCGTAAAACCCATTCGTTTCGTCTCGAAGAAGCGACCTTGACAGCTTCTTACACACGAACCTTCGCGTTAACTCCACCTGACGGTATAATTTAGTGCGCGTCCCCTTCGCGTTGCATTTCTAGGTAAGATTCTTGTCGCGAAATGATTAGATGAGAGGGTAATAAAGCGACGAAGGGCGATGTTATCTGTCGTACAGATGCCGCTTCTTATTACCGTCGAACTCAGACGAGTTACTTCCTGGACGTCTTTAATTAAACAATTTTAATCAAATAGGAAGAGGACTGCGCTTCGAAAGGGGAGAAAAAAAAGGGGGAAAGGATCGAGGGCAAAGGTGTGTCGACGATTCCACGACGATCGCCTTTCCCTCTCGTAGCTCGATTTTTTTTCTCCCCGATTCGTCGGAATGATCGAATTCCGCGGAGTGTCGTCGTGCCGCTAAAAATGTTTATTTACGTTCGTCGGGATATCGACATTAACCTTTTAAACGACGCGGTCGAATGGCGTATAACGTTGCCGCCGGTATCGCTGCCATTCATATTTGTTTTTATCCGCATCCGCGTGCGCGCACAGAAATATCTTCGAATGGAAACGGCTGGACGCGATACGATTTTATGAGCCACATGTTCCCGCAATATACGCGGACAATACAAATGGCGACTTAGATCAGCAGGTGAATTCTTCTCGGCGAGAGAGAAAATCTCTCCTCCCCTCTCTCCCTCTCTTCGCCCTTTCCACCCGGCAAAAGCGAAATTGTTCTTGCCGTTTCTTTTTCAATATCTCTTGCTTTATGAATGGGATAAGAAGAAAAAGGAAGAAAGCACGCGGTAGATTCACACGATGTGCTGCGAGAGGAACTTGCCAGACTTTATAAATAGTGGCCTCAAGTGGCTTTAAGTAGAAGTCGTGCGAACGGCTTATAAACGGCAATAAAAACAGAAAACCGTGCGAGGATCGAATGTCATCGCGCTGCTTACTGTTGCTCGTCGGTTTTATCACATTGTTATTTCTGTTATGACACGAAACGTTGAATTTTAAATGACCAATCTCCTTTTCATAGGCTACAAGAGCTACTTCCCAAGAATATTAAGATAAGAATTCCTAATCAAGGCCCAGGCATATCGCATCGAATTATCTGGTTGAATTCACGCGAATAACATATTCCTGAGCCTTAACAGACTTTCTGGGACATCCGACATGCTAGCCGTTTAACTTCGAAAGCCGGCAAGACGCCTGAATCCTGTTCAAGAGCATCCCGAACCGTGTATTATGCAAATTCGATAAGTCTTAAAATCTGATTTACGACATATCCGGAATAAACGGCGTCGAAGGCGTGAATAAAGGTTCCGCCGACGAACTTGAAACTACGGCCTACGACTGTACGGGAATGTTCTTTCTGATAGCGTTCGCCTTTGCGCCGAGCGGACTGATAAGCATGCAAAGCCCGACGGTATCGCGACCAAGGGTCATTTCTTTCCGAGACGTCGATGAGTCAGTCGCGAAGACAGAAATAACGCTGCGGCGCGGTAAACGTCGTGCGGATAAAAAAGAAGGAGCGCGATAAACCGGCGGGCCGAAAGCGTACGTTCGTTCCGCTCCAATTTTGAAATACGGGGGACGATCTATCATCCTTGAAAATTGGAGTAAAAGCTCCGCCTTTTTTTTTTCAGTCCGCCAGTATTTGCAATGTTTTTGTCGGCGCGATACATTAAAACAAGCTATCGAACGTATGATAAATCGGACGTTTTACATCGTCGTCCCAGTACCCGTGTGTGTCTCTATATGATACACAAAAAAAAGACACGTTTCGATAATACGTAGCGCGAATGCGTTACACAGGGTATCTCTAAATTAATGGAAGTTTGAACAGGTGATTGAAGGTGCTGTAAAGAAGAAATTCACGTCTTTAAATGACATACGATCGATGAATAATGGGAGTGTATCGATAACAATAGACTCACCTAAAAAATGACTGCAAATAAATCTGTTTTAAAATACTATTCGAGCCTTTTGTGATTTAATCCTTCCTCCGATGACTTTTAGCTCGTTGGAAGTATATTGCGACTCTTCCAACTTCTGAATAAATTCCGTGTAAATAAATGAATATTCTTCTGCCCTTTCTAGACGACTCTCACCGAAAGAAGTATTATTATCGATTGTGTCACGCGTCTTACGTCGTTGCACCGTTGAAGTTTTGATTAAATCTGTTTGTCTACCCTGTTCTAAATTCGTACATATTCAAAAGCTCGCGAGATGAACGCCACACAGAGATTTCTCCCCGTGATCTCCCGCGGCAAAAGTCATCTGGACTTTCATTGAGATGCGAATGGGCCGAGAGGCGAGCATCTCGTGTACGCGCGCGCGAGAGAAAAAGAGAGAGAGAGAGAAAGAGAGATCGCCGGTCGTTGCGGCGTGTCGTGTATCGCGGGCCCCAACGAAATTTTACGTAACATGTAAATGCGCTCGTCGTGAATGCGGTCGCGTTACGTGCCTCTTTCTCTCTGTCTCTCCCTCGTTTTCTACCTTCCCGTCTCTTTTTATTGCCGAAGCGGCACTTACGAAACCAGTTTCGGTGTAGACCGGCGGCTCTCGGTCTCTTTTTCGAGATACGGCCGACGAATTTTTTCTTCCACGAGCGAGAGCTAGCCTCTCTCTCTCTCCCTCCCTCTCTCGTCCTCCCCAAGTTCAGAAATATTATCACGTTGTCGCCAAAGCGGTTCTCTCTTTCTCTCTCTCTCTCTCTCCCTCATGTGTCAGTAAAATCCCCCGCGAGTATACCCTTCGCGGGGGGGTGAAGATGGAAGCTGCTTGGTTTGAGAGCTCCTTTACGAATTTCGTCACGCGCGCCGAAGGGACGCGCTGCCGGCTGGCTCTGCATTTGTATTCGTTGCGCAAGGTCCGGTCGCGCCCTCGTTCCTTAAACAGTATAATTTGCGGAATCTCGTCGGCGACGAGCTCTCTTTTCTCCTCTTTTCTCTTTCCCGCTCTATTCTGCGTCGCGGCGTGTCAGATCGACGCTGCATCGACGAGTCCTCTACGCTCAGTGCAGAACCGTCGCGTTTTCTCGAACTCGCGAAACACGTGCGCGATCGATCTTCCGCAAAAATCACGGCAATCACTCGTCCTGCCGCGGTCATTTAATTCGCAAAAACGTCGAGATAAATTCGAGGCGAGGTCGTGTCGCGATTAACGGGAGCGTGCTCCCGCGACTTTTCCGACACGTGCTCTTTTTAAGCCTCGCGCGGCCCGGATTGATGCGTCGATTCGTCGCCGATTAATCGCGCCCCGCGGTTTTTCAATTATCGCGAATATAGTATCGCGCGCGGCATGAAGACATATAACTCGATTATGCGGTATTATGACGGCTCGATGAAATAGCTTAATACAATTTCCATGTAGGACGCACAGCGAATCTGACAGTACGATAATTAAAGCGTGCGTTGCTTTATCGCTATCAGGGGAGCGCGCGCTCTCTCACTTGACTCGGCCGGCTACTGAAAATTAGTCTCCGGCTAAACTCGATTACCTCGCGATCGGAAATATCGATAGATTTGCTAAACGCTCATCCCGATAAAAAGCATAATTCGATCAGAGCGCGCACGTGCGCAAAAACGTACGACGAGACGAGGGGAATATCTAACAACGATAGACAAGCTGTAAGGTCTACCTCTCTTCCTGTACAAAAAAAAAGCAATACGCCGCCTTAACGGATAAAAATCAAATGAAATATGAGCTATAAATGGAAATGAAAAATTTAAATTTAAAAGCTTAAACTTATCGTCCGGATTTATCTTCTCTCGAAATACACGAAACTTTCCCTAATTTATTTACTCCAAGAAAATTAACAGGTTGATATTTGATATGAATAAAAATCAACGGAGAAATCCGCGATGCACTTTGCGCGTTAGAAGTTTTAATTGCATCACCGAATGATTGCGAAATCGCTATCGGTTCGTACGCGTTCGGCGTCTTTTTCGATCCTTCCGCACCGAAATTAGATTCGAGCCATGCTGATTAGTATTTAATTGCAAAGTTCTGGCGAGAGCGATGCTTGCAAATTTTATCACGTTTCGCTGAGGAACGCGAGTGCATTTGCATTCGTCGCGCCGCCGCGCCGTCGGGTCCGCCTCGCGCGCCTCGCAATCCTTAAATTGCGGAATGTAATCAATGGATAGAATCT